AGTCTACCGTTTAAACCGTTGTTCCGAAATGGCAGTCGCGGAATTGAGTTGCAGACTTTTTGCCTCGAACTCGGCAAAAAAAGTAATCGGAATCTTTTATTCGGACTGGATGAACCCGATTGAGATCTGCAGCTCTTTTTCCACAGGTGTCAATGGTGGGCAGGTCGGCAAGTAAACAAACAAAAAACCGAAACGGCAGACCAGCTGTGTGAATAGCTCGTCAAAACGATGACTGGTAAAAGCGAACCCATCCCCTAGCCGCCTGTGTGTACTGAGCTCTGCGGCTATAAGGCACCCGTTGACGTCTTGAGGCCAGCAGGCAAGTGGTGGGGGGGGGGGCGGTGATGGGGGGCACCGTGGATGGAGAATGGAGCGAGGGGATTGGCCGGTTGGAGGGTGGGGTCGATGACGACGTCGCGGTCAACGACCGAGGCGCGCACGCACGCACGCTGAGCCCCGGAGAGAAGCAAAAATATCTCAGCAGCCACCCCGCACACATCCCCCTCGCCACCCTCCCCTCCGCTTTCCTCTCTCTCCCCTCTGTCACAGCCACCCCGCACACATCCCCTTCTCCCTGCCCCCCTCGCCACCCCCCCCCCTCCGCTTTCCTCTCTCTCCCCTCTGTCAATCTCTCAATGTGTTTTTGTATCCTACATCATCCACCTCTCCCTTCTCGCTCCCCTCTGTTCTGTGTGGCCTCCTTTCCATTCCTTTCGCCTCTCCTCCTCCTCCCCATCCGCTCTACTAAACCCGAGCGGTCAGCTCCCCCCCCCCCCCCCCCCCCCCCCCCCCCCCCTTTAGCCCAGCCCCAGAGGGACCCGCAAACCCTGCTCGTGGTATTTTCACTTTTGTTCCGCAAACGTAAGAACGCGAAGTGAAAACCAAAAACTGTGAAACTCCTGTCCGTGTTATTTTAGAAGGTGGTACCCTGGGTTGTCTCTGCAGGGCGCCCTCCTTGTACACACGCAGTGGCGTTGGCTATCGAGGGTACAGGCGGTGCAACCGCACACGGGGGCCCCCATTCGCTCGCCCCAGGTTCTGGGCTATGATGAGTAGGGGGAGAATTTGGGACGAGTTGCTACTTGCACCAGCCATGGTCCATGCAAGCACGCGACTACGCCGCTGTGCATGTGCGCGCTGCCTTTCGCAGAAGCTCCAAATTGCCAAAGCCATTAATGTTTTTTTTTACAAGGGACGGGTATCGATGTGGGGAGCGGCCGTGTAGCGGTTAGCGCGCTGCGCTACGAACCCGGCAAACCAGAGTTCAATGCCCGCTCATGGCCAACACTCGGTGACGATTATTGTAACCGGTTCAGGGGCCTCCCCTATATCGACTCGGTCTCAAATAAGTAGCTGGTACAGTGTGTAAACACCGCCAATGGGGAGACAAAGGTGGCCGGGCGTGGTGCAGGCCACCCACCTCCTCGTGTGCCGTGGCGGCCTTCATAGGTGCTCGCGAATATCACTTGCTCCTAAAGTCTTTTCAGGCTATACAGGTGCTGTTTGTCTTTGTTTTGGTATCAATGATTGCCTTCCCAGTGTTGAGAGTAAGATTGATGATAACGCCAATTAGTTGTACAGCCACACGGAGTCTTACTTTTTTAGAAGGGTCCTTTTGCATTGTTTGGTCAATGCCATATTGTTAGCATAGGGGACTCAATCTTCAACCTGATCCGCAAATTAATGGTATCCCTCATCATCATCGCCGTGACCATCACTACATCATCTTTGTCATCCATGAATTAATCATAATTCCATCAACACCATCCTCATCACCGTCATCCTGCATCCATCACCACAACTTGTATCATCATCCATCATTAATCTATGATGTAATGTATCTATCGTCATCGCGTCAATAATTCCATCATCAGCATTTCAACATTGTGACACTAGCCAAAACAGCTATCCCATTAATTCTTACGCACTAGTTTAACGACCTAAATAAATTACAGAACTATTTTAATATCGTTAATTATAATTCGCGCGTGCGTGTCATTTGGGAGCGGTGTCGCAGTGGTTAGCGCGCTGCACTACGAACCCTGCAATCGGGGTTCAATTCCCGCCCACGACCTTTAACAATGGCGAACATTTGAACCGGGCTTGGGCCTCCCCCTAGGTCGCCTCTGCCTTAAATGAATACCTGGTGTGGTATGTCAGCACTGGGGAGACAAAGGTGGCTGGGCATGGCGTGGTGTTCTCCACACCACTCCCTTTCGTGTGTGCCGTGCCGGCCTTGATAGGGTGCTACTCGCTGACGGCACTTGCACCAACAGTGTGTTAAGGCTGCGCGGGGGATCTGTGTCTTTGTGGGCAGTACAGTGCGGCAGAAGGAGTTGCGTTTTGAGACTTCGCTGCAGGATCGTGGGCGAATGAGCAAACAGCCGCAGGGTGGTTGATGGGACGTTGTTGACGTTGTGGAAGGGCGGTCAGCGATGTGGTGGTGGTGGTGGGGGGAGCAGGGTTAGGGGAGTGATTCTAGGGAACCAGACCCGAAGGAAATGTGGAGGTAGTGGGGTGGAGGGAGTCGTGCAGGCCGGTTTAAAGTGGTTTCAAAAACGTGCTGGCACACACATAATCTACTACGTTAACTGCATATTCTTTGGGTCTTTCGGTAAAGCCACGTAGATAGAACAAATAATAAAAACGACGTTTCGATTGCAACACAAGCAATCGTCATGACCTGATGACCTGATGACGATTGCTTGTGTTGTGATATTTTTATTATTTTTTTCTGTCTACGTGGCTCTACCGAAAGACCCAAAGAATATGAATTCCTGCAGTCACGAAAGCTTTAAGTCAAGATATTACGTTAACTGCGTTCTTTTTGCCTTTAAAAACAGCGCAGCCCATGCAATTGTTACCTCTGCACTGATTATGGTGATTATGATGAATTGGCATCTACTAAAGAGGGATCTCCAGAGAGTCCCTGCGGGATATTTTGTCTTACTCTTCCACGCTAGCCCACGCGTCGTGGAAAATGTGAGAGTACCCACACTTTACTCCACCTCCACACGTGACCTGCCGATGGTAGACTTCACCGTGGTGTCCTCCACGTGTACTGCTCGATAGACAAATAGAGGGGGAATTGAAAAAAACTGTCATTGGTGGGAGGTCTTAAAAAAAGTATGACCAATGAATGTAGTGTATAATGTATGTCCATTACAAATCTATGTTACATTTTGGTCAAGGCTTTGTCCAATAATTGTAAATGCACCACCACCCACGAGCGCCACAGGAGTGGCCCTTCTTCACCTCAATGGGCCACAAGCTCCAATCATAATCTTTGAGACTGGCGGAATCCGAGGAGGCTATTAAACTCTTTTTCACAGGTGTCCGGTATGGGCCTGTCGTGCTTGAAATCGCGCTTGTGCCTTCCCCATGACCCCATGCATCACCCTAGACCAGAGATCAGCAACCTGCGGCTCTCGAAGGACTGTTTTGTGACGTTAGTCACCACGTGCAATGCGGCTCTTGAGAGTTTTGTTACAGAATTCGGAAAAAAATGGCTCCTCTTGTTATTTTGGTTGCCGGCCCCTGCCCTAGACACACTCGAGACCAGGGCCTCCACCAGGTTGCGGATGAAACCCACAAGTTGCTAAGACTGTTCTATGATTACTCGAGCTATGCGTGCGAGCCCTGCCCAATTAACCGTCCTCACACCGAGTGCACTCTTTTCCATTTATATTTTACCAGGTAAGGCCAACTGAGCTGTATACCTTTTTTGTCAGAAGAAACCTCGCCGCAAACAATAGCCCAACAAAGTGGCTCATCACGTGGACATTTTTAGCAGCCAAACGCTCTGAATGCACGTTTCTAAATTGTGGAGGGAAAAACCGGAGGACCCGGAGGGAAAAGCCACTTGACCAGGAGGGGAATGTGCAGACTCCAAATATAGAGGCATTGTCAGTTGGGATCAAACCCTCGACCTCCTGTATACCAGGTGAGGTAATTAACATCTTGCCACCGTGGCGCCCCAGCAGTGGGGGGAGGAGTAGCGCGCGTTCCTCACCGCCTATTCCACGCTCATTGCCGGGTGCTGCACGTGCCCAGCTGGTTCCACGAGGCTCGCGGGATACAATGAGAACTGGTTGCCTGGCTGGGCTCGTATTTCAGTGGCCATTGCCCCTCTCTTACCGCTCTCTCAGCTGTCTCGCGTCTTTACCATCACATCTGCCTCTTTCTTTCGTTTTTTTCTCAGCAAAACGTCCTTTTCCATATTTGTGAACTTGTGTTTGATTGCCATCTTGAGTGCCTCCTTGTTTAATTGCAGTCCCATCCCTGTGCGAATTTTTCAGTTTGTGTAGACCACCAGTTTGTGTCTTTAATAGAAAATCGCTCTCTGACCTTTCAATGCTCTTTGTTTTTCACATTGAATGTTATGTCAAATTCAATACGTGACGATAACGGGAGTAATTTTGTCAGCGACGCAATCTTCATTTTTGACTGGAAGCATTTCTGGGAAAAGTGTTGCTCGTAACTATTTTCTGAAAAAAATATTTCCTCCGGAAAATCTTGGAAATGTAACATTTTCATTTTTACCAACTCAAGTTGCCCTTCAAATTGAGTGAGATCATCTGTCTCTCTGGCCTCACCCACCAGCTCCATGGTGGCGAGACGTTAACTCCCTCACCTGGTATACAGGAGGTCGAGAGTTCAATCCCGACCTTGACACCTGCTGTACATTTAGAGTTTGCATGTCCTCTCTTCGTGGTCATGTGGATTTTTCTCCGGGTCCTTTGGTTTTTCCCTCCACGTTTAGAATCAACGTGCGTTTTTGAGTATTTGGATGCTATACTCTGCCACATGATGAGCCACTTTGTTGAGCTATCATTTGTGGCCAGGTCGTTGCTGTAAAAGAGTTATATAACTCGCTGGGCCTTACCTGGTAAGTGAAAAGTATAGTTTGTCGTGCGCGTGCGGTTGTGTGGTGTGGCTGTGTCGTTTCTGGTGGGCCATTGTGACACTAATCCCTGCGTTGTTTCCTGTTGTTGCTCCAGGACAACGAGCTGGAGAAGATCACGAGGCGGTTCACTGTGGAACTCGCCAAGAAGGGCTTCATAGGTGATGCAGCCACCCCTGTGCGCCGAGCCCACGAGTTTGAGGAAAAATATCCCAGAGTAAAATTTGGTTTTGCCCTTCTCATTTTGCTGAATTCCACTGCCTGAAGGGGTGTCAGAAGTAGTTCTGCTTTACTTCCTTGGACGTACCATTTTCTTTCACGTGGCCGTGCGCTGCACTGGGCGAGTTCTGAGTGGACGCTTTGTCTCGTCGCGACATCGTGCACTTGGAATTAAATTCGGGATAAACAAAAAAACCCTCGCAATCCTTGGGGTAATAGGGGTGTAACGAGGCGTAGAATTACGTGGTGTACGTATGTATGTTTAACTTCTTGTGCATGGTCCGGAGCTAACGGTGCTAATTGGAGGTGCGGGGGAAGGACTGCAAAATCGGTATCCCCGAGTTGATCGCACGTCGTGTGAACCGGGTTGACCTCACGCCCTGCAGCGACCTAGGGGCGCTATCATTCACCGCAATGTGAAACGAAAATTTGATTCCTTGTTGTAATCTTTGTTTTTGTTTATCATTAAACAAGAGGCCGGTACACAGCGCGAGGGACTGGGCAAGGGGGGGGGGGGGTGGAGAGTAGTACAGATGTTCCACGGACGACAAACCCGAGGCCAGGTGCCCATGGTGCAGGGGAAAGTGGTTGGGCGCTCCCTGTCCTCCTGCTCGAGTAGGCGACAATGACCCGGGACGTCGTCTTGTAATGGGCGGGGAAGACGAAGGAAGGGGGGGCTGGGGAAATTTTATTCTTAAATCTTTACTTCGAACCGCCGGCAGTTCACCACGTAGCTTGGGGAGGTACTGGTGGGTTGCGGTGTCAAGTGGCATCGTTATCCCAGGCAGATGTGTCCTGTGCATTGCTACCCACGTGGTACCACAGAGCCAAGTACTGAACTAGCAAGTACCGGTTTCCCTCGCTCTATGCGGGTCCGGTTTGTGCGATTTTGCTCTGTATATGCGGCTAAGCCATTACTACCCAAAATGCGCTATAATTCGGTTTGGATTTACTCTGCATGCGGCTATGTGGTCGGATGTATGACCAACATTGTGTGTGTGTACTGTGTGTGCTACTCGGCAGGCAGCTGTCACCTCGTGTGATTACGGTTTCTACGCGCTTTTTGGAATGCATATACTACTACCGCATAGAGCGAGCGGATACCTGTAATCGAGCAACCCTGGTTCTGCTCTATCACCCCTCCCCTTCGTCTCCTCGTCCTCATCTTCATCCTCCTTCATCCTCTGCTTGGCACCGCAGGTCCGGGCGTCGATGTGCCGGCGCCGGACATGAGCACGGGGGAGCGCGAGATGTCCTGGATCGCCGACACGTATGCCAACACCATGGGGCACAACGTACGTAACCTACACCGTGGGGCACAGCGTACATAACCTGGGAGCAGCGAGAGCCATGCCACGGTTCCTGGTTCTTAATGCATGGACGCCCGCCCTCCTGTTGTTGGTGACCTGAGTTTTAATCCCGGCCATGGCTAACGTCACTGGCGAGTGATCCTGGACGCCTCCCCCCCCCCCCCCCCCCACCCCCCCCCCCCCCCCGCTTGAGCCACGTGCAGGGAGCAGTGTGGTGGAGGGCAGCACGGCGAGTCCTTGTTTCACGCGGTCGTTGTAGCAGTAGCAAGAGATGCCTTCCTCAAAAGGCGTTGAACAAGGAATTGCTGCTACTGAAAGGCACTTGTGCTGTAGAATTGGCCTGCAGTCATCTCGTGGTGGTACTGTACTGTACCGTACTGCTCGGCCGCGTGGCTCAAGAAAGTAGTTTGTCATCGACTGCTCAAAAACCGCGTTATAACGGTGCGTTTTCTGCGCTCTGGGAAACGTTTTCCCGACCTAGAAGGAGCGTGCTTGTAGCAAAAACGCGTCACGTGAGCGTGTGTTAGGCGAGGACTTGCTGGAGAATGAGATGAGAGGTTTGGGGTGCGGGCAAGTCCATTGAGGGTCTGGAATGAAGACTGTTGGCACCATTTACATTAAAAAAAAAATCGTGGTTGCTGAACACAGGCCCAAAGGCCCGAATCGCCGAGGGCCCAGCAACAAACGGCACCAGCAAAGGTGGATTGGATGAAAATGACTACGCTCCTTGAATTGAGTAAGGTTATCGTGCGAATACTGGAAGAGGGTCGATAGGAGGGAATTTCAAAGTGGAGCCGGGTATGAGGGAAGAAGCATATCGAGAAAGTGACATCCAGTGTGGTGGGTAGGTGGGCCAGTTGGCGAGCGTGTTGTTGTGACCTGTGTGTCGGATGATTGCGGCCGAGCGGGGTGGGGCTAGCGATATTATTAAACGCACGAAGCGTCTGCTGCGTCTCGTGTCGCCAACGAACGCGGCTTCGTGCACGCACGCGTCTGTCCCTGCAGAACATCAACGCGCACGCGTGCGTCACGGGGAAGCCCATCAGCCAGGGCGGCATCCACGGCCGCATCTCGGCCACGGGCCGCGGCGTCTTCCACGGCATCGAGAACTTCATCAACGAGGCGACGTACATGAGCTCCGTGGGCCTGACGCCCGGCTTCAAGGGCAAGACCTTCGCTGTGCAGGTGGGTACGCTCCGCTCACTCGCCCGCTCACTCGCCCGACTTTCCCATCAACTCGTCCATTCGCCTCTCTGCCTGCCCGACCGCACACCTCAGATCTTCCGCCCACTAAGCCTACATATTTGTCGGTTTGGTAGCCCTGCTGCCTGGCCTTCTGCTTGCAAAATGCACTCGCTCGTCCGCTCGTCCACCTGCTGTCCTCCTGCAGACTTAACTCGCCCCTGTGCTCGCGCGCCCAGGTTCCCGGCCCACCCGATCGGCCGTCCGCTCGCCCCCACCATCTTCTTCGCATTTCTCTTGCTCGCCCACACACCTCGCCCCTTTTAACAAAATGTAGATGATCGAGTATTCTATGCAGGGGTACTCTTGTAATCGTCAATAATTGGACACAGAATGGACTAATGTGGTTGCTTTTTGTTTGGGCAGGGGGGGGGAGGGGGGGTGTTTCTTTTTGGTAACGCCTTCCACTTAACCTTGGTTCCCTCCCTGACGCCGGCCACGGAGGCTGCACTCGCGAGGCAGCTCTTTAAAAAGCTGCCCTTTGCGAAGCCGCAAAGGCCAGGCACTTGGGATGGGCCACGAACCCCTTGGGGAAAATGAACGGTGGGAGGAGGAGGGGGAAGGGACTAGGAGGTCAAAGCCCAACGATTCCCCACGGCTAAATTTGTCTCTCCCGCCTCCATCCGTGCTTTGAGTTCTCCTACCAGCTATCATGAGTGTGTGGGTTGCCGTGTGGGCCCGAGGGATATTGGATTGGTACCGATGACCGGTACCAGCGCTGTCAAGATTGGCCTCTTATGGAAGAGACTAATAACAGACGCTGCTGGATAGTTGGAGCCAATCGCCCTCCAACAGCGGAGGGCAGAAGGAGTGACAACTCGCAACAATGAGTGGAGCACCGGGTGGTTAAAACGCTGAAAGTTGTCACATTAGAGGGCACGAGTGGTGACTGCCATTCATCACAGTCGGTCAACCCATAGCACCGGGGTGTGTCCCGTGACTTTCTGCCCGGCACAAGTGCCTTGGTGACGTAACCGGCATTTTAGTGGCGAATGGATGGCGGCTGTAGTTGTCGGTGTGTCTCTGCGTGAGTACAAGGTTATGGTGTGGAGTTAACATCGCCGCGAGAAAGACAAAGGCGGCCGGGCGTGGTGCTGGCCACCCACCCCCTCGTGTCACGGTGCCGGCTTTCGTAGGTGCTACTCGCTTAACAGCACTTGCCCCCGAAAAGTTTGTTGAGGCCCTACGGTGCGGGTCTTTGTCTTTGCGTGCCGGCCAGGGTTTCGGTAACGTGGGCATGCACTCGATGCGGTACCTGACCCGAAACGACGCCATCTGCGTTGGCGTCGGAGAGATCGACGGCAGCATCTACAACCCCGACGGCATCGACCCCAAGGCACTGGAGGAGTACAAGCTGGTGAGGCTCTTGTCGCGAGCAGCGGACACAAAGGTCCCCCGCGTAGCCTCGACCGGGCCAACGGGGCAGGTGCCGTTTCATTCGTTCCAGACGCGGAGTCGGCAAAGGAGCCGTCGTGCCAAGGTTGGGGGAGGGGGTGACCACGGTGGGGGGGGGGGTGACCACGGTGGGGGGGGGGGGGTGACCACGGTGGGGGGGGGGGGTGACCACGGTGGGGGGGGGGGTGACCACGGTGGGGGGGGGGGGGACCACGGTGGGGGGGGGGGGGACCACGGTGGGGGGGGGGGGTGACCACGGTGGGGGGGGGGGGGACCACGGTGGGGGGGGGGGGGACCACGGTGGGGGGGGGGGTGACCACGGTGGGGGGGGGGGGACCACGGTGGGGGGGGTGACCACGGTGGGGGGGGGGTGACCACAGTGGGGGGGGGGGTGACCACGGTGGGGGGGGGGGGGGGTGACCACGGTGGGGGGGTGGGGTGACCACGGTGGGGGGGAGGGGGTGACCACGGTGGGGGGGGAGGTGACCACGGTGGGGGGGTGGGGGTGACCACGGTGGGGGGGGGTGACCACGGTGGGGGGGGGTGACCACGGTGGGGGGGGGTGACCACGGTGGGGGGGGGTGACCACGGTGGGGGGGGTGACCACGGTGGGGGGGTGGGGGGGGTGACCACTGTGGGGGGGGGGTGACACCACGGCTCGCAGTTCTCACTCAGAGCGTCCACCGCTATTTTCTGGAGGTTGCGTGTCGAGACTGGGCGACGTCCACAAAGCGACAGCCGACTCGAGCCCAGCTCTCAATCTCTCGGAGATGGGTCGCGGATGCAACGGTGACATTTCTGACGAAGGCGAACCGTCGGATGTCAAGTGCCGTCGGCGAACGCCTAGAACGGAGGGCGGCACGGCGCGCGAGGGAGAGCGGTGTGGCCGGCTCCCCACGCCCGGCTCGCCACAGTCTCCCTCAATGCAATGCCCATTTAAGGCAGAGTCTACCTCGGGCAGAGTCTACCTCGGGCAGAGTCTGCCTCGGGCGGAGTCTGCCTCGGGCTACTTTGCAGCAGGCGCTGTGGGCTGCTGCTGCTGCGGCTAGAGGGGGTGAATTGCTGAGAGGTTTTGTCGGGACATTGAGGTGCTTGACCAATTCCATTTTATTCATGGGAGTTTGGCTCCATAGGGGAGGGAGCTGGAGATGTCCGGAGAACACCCACCAGCACCGTCCGTGGGGATAACGCCCAAAGCGCCATGGAACAAAAAGTAATAAACTGAACTCATCATTTAACACGGTGGCATTAACGGGAAGATATCTCATTGGTGACGTTTCGGGCAACGGCCCTTCGGTGCACACAAACGTGCTTGCGCACCACGACCCGACGCGGCGTCGCCAAACTATTTGTTGGAAATGCGATAGCGCCGCACGGATGGATTTGCGGACTTGCCCGTTGGACCACCGGCAGTAGATTCGTCCAATTTTTCTGATCCTGTGCCGTGCGTGTGTGTGCGTGTGTGCTGCTGCTGCTGCTGCTGGTCCCGGCCGGCTTTTTGGGAGAGCAGCAGCAAGGCACGATCGTCGGGTTCCCCGGGGCGAAGCCGTACGAGGGCAGCATCCTGGAGACGCCGTGCGACATCCTCATCCCGGCAGCTGGGGAGAAGCAGCTCACCAAGCACAACGCTCACCGTGTCAAAGCCAAGGTGGTGTACGCATCCCGTACCCGAGAGACAAAGATTCCCCGTGTAGCCCGGACAGACTGTGTTGGGGCAAGTGCCGTTAGAGAGCGCGCATGCGGAAGCCTATGCAACACATGGTCGTGCACGTGCGTGCAAATACAAATATCCCATATCAAGCACGATAGGCTGTTGGCATAAGTTCCATTTGTGACCACAGATGCAAACGCACGCACACACACACACGTGTGCACACAAAGACACATGCACAGTTATACGCACGCGACAACAACCGGCATTCGCCACGGAGTGGCGGTGACGTCGCCATGGCGCTTGTGCCAGGCTATGTGCACCTAAAGGCCACGTGAAGTGTCGTATACGCACACGTACACAATCGTGCACGCCGTTCGTACGCGTGGCGTAGTGGTGGCACGCTCGCCGCTTATTTGTTGTAGAGGCTCACGGTTTCGAATGCAGCAGCAGCAGCAGCAGCTTTGAATAATCCTGCGGTGTTTATTAACTATTAAACAAATACTCACAAGCAGTCTGGTTCGTAGTGGATGTTAAAGATCCCCGCGACGTCATTCGAGAGTTGGGACATTGCGTGCAGGCGTCTTTGTACCAAATGTAAAAGATAACACCGCGAATCACACAGCAGCAGCAACAAATCGTTGCCACCTACTGCGAAAACTCCAGCAGTGGATTGATCGTCGCTGACGATGATGATGACTAAGGCAGGCTCAGTGCATAGTGCTGCCAGTCCCACTCGTGCCCGACCCTGCACGTGAACTGTAACCCCCCCCCCCCTTGTAGATTATTGCAGAGGGAGCCAACGGACCAACCACCCCCCTAGCCGACAAGATCTTCATGGAGAACAACGTTCTGGTGATCCCGGTGAGTGGTGGCGACTCACGTGATGGCAGAGAGGCCGAGGGAGGGCGGCAGTGTTTTTGTGCATTCTGGGAAAGCAGCCGTGCTTTTTACGGGTGGCCCGGTGTGCGATGGGGCAGCGAGCGGTGGTGAACGAGGGGAGATGAGACCTGGGTTGTGATGAAGTATAACGATTGTCCGCTTCCTGTTGATCAGCATTTATTGTCCGATCATTTATGCGCTATGCAGGAGGGCCTTTGCCTGAAACTTTGCCCACGATGGTTTTTTTTTTAAGCGGTGTTAATGTAGACTACATGGGGGATCTCTGTCATTTGTGTTCAGGACCTGTACCTGAATGCGGGCGGTGTGACGGTCTCCTACTTCGAGTGGCTCAAGAACCTGAATCACGTGAGCTACGGGCGTCTCACCTTCAAGTACGAGCGGGATTCCAACTATCACCTGCTGAGTAAGTGGCACCGCTCCGTACCCCACCACTACAGCACCCACCACTCGCATGTAAGCAGGTCAGGGAACATGACTTTGACATTTCTGCAACTCTGGCAATGGCATGACGACTATAACGACGATGACGACGATGATGATGCATATCGAGGGTAGGTCAAAGAGGCATTGGAGTGGCACTCGGAGGTTGGCAACTGAGGTGAAAACCTAAAGGCGATGAGACTGAAACAGTGGTCCTTAAAGGATGTTTAGCAAGATGGAGACCTAAAACCACGATGACTTGGTTGTGATCATGAGACTGTGAAGAAAAGGCCTTAGAGGTTACAAACATACAACATCTACAGGAACTTGATTAGGTGATTTTTTATTTTTATTATTTCTATGTGACTTTACCGAAAAGACCAAAGAGTAACATCTACAGGTTCTGGCAGAAGGAAGTGTCCTTATTGACTGTGATTTATTTGAATATCGCTGTTGTCTTCCTTGTATCTGTAGTTCCATTTTGTTGATCTGACGCTCCCCCCCACCACCACCATGCCCACCCTTGTGCGGTGTTCCAGACTCGGTGCAGGAGAGTGTGGAACGCAAGTTTGGTAAACACGGAGGGCCGATCCCGGTGGTTCCATCCAGCGAGTTTCAGGCTCGCATCGCGGTGAGTTTGGCACTGGTCTCGTTGTCCCTCACCATCTCTCTCTCTCTTCCCCTGCTGCCTTTTCCCCACATCTCCTATGGTTCTGCCAAAGAAAATAGTAGATTCTCAACCGGGGCTTAATTTCTCACTCTATTTTCCAGAGAGCTTCACATCACAGATGTTTGTACAAGATCTATGTGCTATTACACATTTTTATTTTTGAGGCCACACGGTGTAATTGACGAATGCGTGGTTTTTGGTGTCGATGTTTATTTTTACATTCGTATACCACCAGTCCACTCGTGGATGAAGGCCTGTCCCCACGCCATGTGAGCCATTGTGTTTTCTTAACCATACTTCTCCATGCTGGTCAGTGTGGGTTGGTGAAGTGTGGCGAGGGCAGGGGGGACCGGTTGTGGTATCGCTCGCCGCTGATGTTTACCGTGGCCAGGAACCGAACTCAAAGTCGCCAGGATTCGCAGCTTCGCGTGCTAACCGCTGCGCTACCGCTCTGCCACAGCGGCAAGATGTTAACTACCTTGCCTCGTGTGCAGGAGATTGTGGGTTCGATCCCGACCCGAACTCCTGTTGTATATTTGGTCGCATTGCTTTTTCTCCGGGTCCTCGAGTTTTTCCACATTTAGAATAGGCATGCGTTTAGAGTTTTTGGTCGCTATAAATTTCCACGTGATAAGCCATTTGGTTGAGGTAGCATTTGTGACCAGGTTGCTTCTGAAAAAAGAGCTATATAGCTCGGTGGGTTTCACCTGGTGAAAAAAAAAAAGTTCGTAGTTTTTATAGTTTATAACGTAGTTTAAAAGTGGCAACAAAAAAATATTTCGTTGGTTAGTTACATATATATGTGTTTGTTTGTGTGTGTGTGTACACGCATGTGTTTTTTGATATTGTGATCGTCTGTGTGCAGGGTGCTTCGGAAAAGGACATCGTGCATTCGGGCCTCGCCTACACGATGGAGCGCTCGGCACGGGTGAGAGATCCCCACTCCTTGCTACTCTCACCGCGTCCGCCGAACAAAGACAGGCTGTCGCATCGCGCGCTCTCGGATGCGCTTTTGCGGCCGTCTGGAACGCTCTTCTTTCCGATATTAGGAATCTCCTGGAGCTGTGCACTTTTAAATCCTCTAGATGGAAAAGTCATTTATTTTAGAACTGCTTTTGTTTCGTCTGTCCTTCCCCAGCAGCTCCGATTAGCACGGTTGGCGACGTATGGCTTGAAAGAAGTTCTACATAGATTCTGTCACGTTGCTCACTCCACACACCACCCACGACACGCCACTCGTTCACTCTTGTCGCTCGCTGCGATATTCGCTCACCGCGCCGATTGGCGTTCGCGTCGTTCACTCGCCGCGCCACTCGCTCGCTCACCGTGTCGCTATCCCGTATCACTCGCCGCGTTGCTCACTACCACGTCGCTGCTCACCGCACCGCTCGCTCACCGCGTCGCTCACCACGTGTTCTCCCCTTGCTCCTGCAGCAAATAATGCGCGCGGCGATGAAGTACAACCTGGGGCTGGACCTGCGCACGGCGGCGTACGTCAACTCCATTGAGAAGGTGTTCCGCGTCTACAACGAGGCCGGCCTCACCTTCTGATCGGGAAGGGGGCGTGGGGCGGTGGGGGGTCCGAGTCGTGGAATGGTGAGAACCAGCCTGGTCGCCCACTCGCTCGCCCTCCCTCCTGCCAGCTTGGTCCATCGCCTCCAAGGACGAAGTGTCAGGAACGACAAAGAAAATCCACAGCCTGCGACGGTTCTGTCCAACGCAAGGAGTTGTCTCTTTCTCTCAGTCTCTCTCGGTCTCTCTGCAGCACAGCACCGCGACGCTCGCTCCCTCGTTCGGCACAGCGGCGGGCGCCGCGATCACCGACGGCGGTGACGCGGCTCGGCACCGAGCGTTGTGGCCGCCTCCTCCCGCCCAGCGTCCGCTACTCTGGTGCCCGGGACACTCCGTTACAGCGGCTGCAGCTGCCCAAGAATGAACACATCCTTGTCCTCTTTCCAAGGTTGTCAGCGATTTCGGCCCACTTGGCTTCTGGCCTCCGCCGGTCCTGGCCAAAGCGGTGACCCACAACGGTTCCCGCTGTCCGTGCCCCTCTGTGCACCGCTGTGCCAACACTGCGCCTTTACTCGCCCCCCCCCCCCGCCCCCCGCCGTGTTTACATCAATGCCGCGCGTGACTGCCAACCACGCGGCTCTGTGTGGCGCGGTGGGCAAGCCGACGCTGCAGAGTCCCCTGCCCAATCTTCTCTCCGGTTTGTGTTTGTTGCGGTTTTATTTATGTTTTTCCTTTTGTTTTCCCTTCCTACATTTCTTCCGATTTCATGCACAGAAAGTGGTCCCCTTGGCAGCTTCTAGCAGAGCACCGCGTCCGCCCGACGTGTTGGAGAACGGTCCGCAGAAGCAGACACCGCATGGCTACTTCTGAGATCCTTTCACAGTGCACGCTCGGGAGCGCCGCGCTCTCAACGTGCCGTGCTGTGGATGAATATTTCCCAAATTTTAAGTGAAAAGCCAAAAATAAATTTCGCAAGATATTTGGCGCCATCATTCGGGACTGGGCTGCGAGCATCAACTTGCTACATTTTTGAGGATTTGGTGTTTTAACACGTCGCCGATTCAAACCCGGGATTTCAGGATGGGCGGCTCGGTGTTCCCATCTCTGAGCCATCCAGCCACTCGCCTACTTTTATCTTTTTTTTTTACATTTTCCAATTTCCGATTTTCTCGTCGGGAGGGATTTCGCAGGAGGGAAAACGGGTTCTTTTTTTTGGTTTGTGGGAAGGTGTCATTATTGTGGCTCGGACAAATGCCGTGCGGCTGTCTTGGGACTCGCCAGTTTACTCTTGAGCGAGGACGTTGTTACGATGCTGATCATCATGACGCGTAACCCCCCCCCCCCCCGCCCCCACGACAGTGCACACGCACAGGTCGCGATGTTCGACAGAGTTCTTCTCGTCAACGGTCCCCGCGATGACGTCGCTACCTGGGGCCTGCAACTTTGCTCGCCTCCCGATCACATGATCACGTCGAAGAAACACTCCCATAATGACTGCGTCCGGAGCCACCTCGGTCAGGGTGGTGATGGACACGGTCTCAGTTTTTGGGTCGGAAGCGGTGGACATTGACCACCTCCCTCCAGGTTGACCCATCTCGCTTGCTCCATCGCGGTGGTCGGGTTGACTGTTAAACGCTAAATGCCGCCTCCCATCTCTGACGCAAACACGGGGCTCCACTCCCAGTTTCCCGTTGCGTTCTCTTAGTGATTCGTGCGCCAAGCAGGCAACCGAGCGATTTGGGTCCACGCTTCCCGTGGGGGCGGTGTCGTTTAGCGGTAGCGCTGCGCCAAAGTCACGGAACGCACCTAGCGTCTCGCTCGGAGCTCATCCTTGCGCGCTCGGCGTGGAGGTTTGGCGCTCGTCCCCAAGGTGTCGAGCCGGCTGTACCTCCCCCCTCCCCCCCCACCTCTGCACTTGACCTGGGCTCATTGTCCCCCTCCGCAATGACCTCGGTGACTTGATGTTAATGATTTAAACAAAACATGTCTACGTTGGAGCGCGTGTCAGACTATCGTTGTTATGGCACTCGTGATGTCACAGCAGCGCGTGTCACTATTCATCTGCGGGCCGCCCCTCCCCCCCGCCCTACGTGCCGAATTCTCACGATTCGAGGCGGCAATTGGGATCGGAAAGCTGTTGTGGGTTTTTTTCTTTCTCGTGGACGGCGGTGCCTCTTAAGTGGCCGCAGGATTCGTGCAAAGGCATTGCGCACAACACCCGGGGAGAAAACAAAACCTCGCGCTAATTAAACCACCGTTTTAATCGTTCGGCGAGCACAGAGACGCCCGTTTGGGTCACTGCAGCGCGTCTGAGCTCGACGCAACGACGCCGCCCAAAGAGTTCTATCGTGACTCCGTTTGACCGACTTTGAAAGTCTTTCTATTTTTGGCACATCATTTACAAAACTTCTAATTATTTTTTGGACAAGACGAGGACACGGCCTAGGTAAGCGCTGGCTGTGAGTAATTTATTGGGAGCGCGTTCCGGGTTGGTTGTATGGCCAAGGTGGTGGGGTGGGGTGGGGGGCGTGTGTGGCCTTTGGTACCAGGTTCGGAGAGCAGGGCACTGGGGTTGACGACTCTTCTCATAGCCATGGCTTAATAACTCGCGCGGTTGGCTACGTACGGTGCGAAAGAAGTCCAACGTACGTACATAGGCTGGAGTAGGCGGTGACCTGTCGCAGACGCGAGAGGGGAGTTGGTGTACTGGACGTGGTGTGCAGGTGTACGGAAATACATTTTGCCGATTCCCGGCCCGAGATTGATACCTCGTTGTTAGCTGAGCTTCGTGTGACGATACTGTCAGAAAATAAAGAACCTCATTTCATTGTTCGGCAGCGCACAGCCATCTTGGCGTGCTTGGGCATTAAGTGGCCGGATTGTATGTAGGCTTTCGCGACCAATATTATTCGTAATAAAGGTTGATGTTGGATCGCGCGAGTGTGAATGGGTTAACGACATTAATATTTCCGCGATCTAACCCAAAACACCCCCCCCCCCCCGGTTTTGTTACGAACGGTTTAGTTGCGTTTTGTTTTGTGGATGGGTGGGCGAGTGGGGTTGCATGTGCGCTTAATACAAAAACGAGACGACGTTCACCTGGAATGTATGAGGAAAATAGAATACACGAATGATTTAAATAAAGGGCGTTTATAACAAAGTGGTGGTGGTGGGGTGGTTGTTGTTTTGTGTTTTGTTGTGTTGGCCCTTCTAGGTGAGTGACTGCCTTGCCAAGATTCTACACCGGCGCCTCGTCTTTGCAACAAAATAAATAAGCAAGGTCTCGTGCAAATGTTCGTTTCTACTTCAATAATGAAAGTAATTGTTGCACAGACCCATCGGCAACACGGCCTTTTGGGAGTGTGCATCATTATGACGAAGTAGATGGAGGGGGTGGTACACAAGCCACGTGATTTTAACGGGATGCTTGAGGTCATTTGGATTTTTATTCCTAGAATGTACAAGACACAATTTTAATAATATTCTCAAGTTTCATCTTCAGTACATCACAACAAATAATATCGAAGGTATTCGTGCGAGTTATTCGCACTGCAATGTTCAATCTAATGCACTCTTTATTGAACAGAAACACAACAACGGTGAAAGACGGAGAGCGAAAGAGGTTGATATGGAGGGAGGGGAGGTGCAGGAAGTTCTGGAGGAATGGAGAATTTGTGTTCGCAAGATCGTCGTTTAGGAGTAAGACGGCACTGCACGGGACACGATCACGCAAAGGGAGGGGTTGCACGGGCAACATCACTGTTCAGCCAGAGTGCGTACACACACACACAGACTCGCAGGCATACATACACGACACATACAGCAAGTCCCCCTGTGTCTCCTTGCCTCGCCTAATGGGGGGAGAGGGCCAACGCCCTCTGCTGAAAGCGAGCAACGATTCAGGGCCAGCGGCGGAGCAGAGTGTGGGTGGGCTCGTCCACAATCTCCCGGTGCCCAGCCACCTTTGTTCTTCCCAGTACAGATGTTTACATGCCATTAAAAAAAAAGTACCGTACTCGTTTAAGGCCCAGTCTCCCTAGAGGCGACCCAAGTAAAAAGAAAAGGGGTAAAAGGTGCAGCCCCGACATTGCATTGCTCCGAAGTCCACTGCTGGTGGAAGAGACTCCGTGAGAGTGAGTTGGAGAGCATCCTGACGGGTGCGTACTTTGGCCTACTCTTTCACGTCATGCTGGCCAAATGTGGTGGAAGAGGTGGGAGAGGTGGGAGTGCCCACACTTTGCCCCACCACCACGCGACCTCGCCGATCGACTCGACGACGGTGAACCCATTTACTACACCGCTGGGTGGACATGCGGTGGGTGAGGAATGGGGGGGGGGGTTAGCTGCCGTGCCGAACCCGTGGACTCTGGCTCGAGAGTCGAGTCTGTTGACCGTTTCACGACTGTGGTAGCATCGCGGAATATGCAAATCAGTACATCGATTCCATAGATGTTGAACCCGGATCAATGAAATGATGCCCTAGCCTGGGCATCGTTTAGGTCAACTCGGCCCAAAAAAGCATTTGTAACCTGTTACGGCGAGGTAATTGAAATCAGCGATGGCGAGTCCAAATAATCTGGGTGGATGTGGTGCTGATTACAGTGAAGGTGGGTGGCGAGTGGGGCAGGGCTGTGTCCGGATATCACCCGCCACTGGATGGTAGCCGTGGCACGGGAATCGAACTCGGGTCACGATGTTTGTGGGCGCAGTGCACGAACCGTTGCAACCATTGCACCCACGACACGAGCACGCTCCATCCGCGAGACCTGTAATAGGTGCTCGCCAATGCTAAATACACTTGCCCCGATGGTTGTAGCAGGCTATGCGGGGAACCACCTTTGTCTTTTGAAATGCACGCACACACACACACGGGTTTGTAAGGTGCACGATTTCACTTCGTCACGAAGGGTGGCATCGTTGGCAAGATCCCCGACACTTGAGAGGCATGGTGGGGGGTGAATTTAGAATTTGACTTCATGGAGGAAGGCGGGGCATGGGGAAATACTCGGTATCCTCAAACATTTAAAATAAATATCTCCAATGTTGTTTTCGGGTTCTGCCGCGGTGTTGTTCACCACGATGTCCGACGTTTCACTCCGCATGCACGGGAGCTTCGCCTGTTCCGGAACTGAAAATGGGATTAAAGTTATTCAGGAACTGAAATTGGATCGGGTAAAGTTCAGGTGGACTGCGTTCAGTGCAGGTGCAGTTTTCTGAAGATCGCAGGCACGACCACCGAAACGTCGGACATCATGGTGGACATCACACAGCGGCACAAAACAACATCGGAGTGAGATGGGCAACAGAGCCCACGACAACCCACGCGGCGATGTTAAATAAAAATAAACAAATGATGTTGACAAAAACATTTGAAAAACAGAATAAGTGAAACATTCAAAATACAAAAAAGGTATTTGTCAATTGCCCAGCGATACAAAACAAATTATTTAGAAGTCTTGGCTGACATTCAGGAAGAGTTGTCTGCATATAAAATATAAACAACGCCCATTACAAACGTGTTTTATATTTGACCATGATTAAACACAGACCAATGATGTAGTCACGCCGCATTCATTACTTATCGAGTCTCAAGACATTGTTTGAGAGGTTACTTCCAATTGATATTAGGCTTCATGCTTAAGTTACAGATACGTGCTTATATGCGTGTTCGCTAACAGCAATTGACCCAACAATCGGAATGCCTATATGGGGATATTTGTCTCGCATTTGCCGATGTATGTTGAACTTCTTTTGCACCGTACGTAGCCAACCGTGCTAGGCGGAGGTGCTACGAACCACACGTGTTTACTGTGTTTGTGTGACCATATGTACAAGTTTATGTGTACACAGTATTGTGTTTGTTTGCAACTGCTCATTTCTCACGGAATATCTTCAAGTCGCTGGTAGACTGCAGGAGGTGGCACGTGACGAGGAGTTGTCGTCTTAGGCAGGCACAGTGAGAGGCGATGTATACTGGACGTGGTGCGCCGGACGCATAAATATTGTTTCCGTGTTGCCTACCCTTGACAGACCCGGCTAAAATTAATCTCTGATGACCCCCTCTTGAAAAATTGTCTTGAGACTCGGTCATTTCGAGGACGCAAAATATATCGTCCCCACCTCGGGCGCTATTGGGAAACCCCACGTGCATGGGGATGCCAATGGGGGCAGGCATTGGTGCTTTAAATTTGGAATGTACCACTGGATGTCTGGGGGGGGGGGGACATAAGCATCCATTCTGACCACCCACCCCCCAACGTGGTGGTGTGAAATTGCACAACCCAAACACACATCCCTTTAGTAAGGACCTGGCATGATTCGGCGTCAACCTAAGCGATTGTGTACCCATTATAAATACCCCCGAGCGCCAAGAGGTGGTGGACGTGCCTTGGAGATGACCGCATTATAATTATTTATGCGATTCTGCGTTGGCAGTGGTACCCACGCAGGCACGCACAACCAACTCAACACATTCGTCAATAACACTGTGGCCTTAAACGGAACAGTATGTTATAGACAACACGTGACGAAGGACCATTGCCCGAAGCGTCACCCGGTGATGGGACTGTTTTCCTCTTTCAGGCCACGGTGTCATTGAGGAACGCGATGAGTTTCTTGCAAATGCTCGCGGTTCATCGCCGTCACCGTTTCGTCTTCTCGAGTTCGGCGACATATTTACTGCGTGTATCGCAGACACACCCCCCCCCCCCCCCCGTGCGTCTATACCTGGGACCGTAGTCCGTGATGTTACACAGCGTGTCCTCCAAATAACATGGGCGGGCAGGGTGCAATGTCCCGCGTCTCAAACGATGGGTTTTGTTTTTTTGTGGGACGTCGAAATAACCGGAAAAGATACAAATCAATTTACACGAGTCGAATATCGCGACCAATATTATCCATGATAGAGGTTGCTTTTGGGTTATATCGCGTAAGTATAAATGTGTCGCTGGCCAGAATTCTGGCTGTCGCCTGATGAGGCTGGTTGCTGTAATTACTGGCGGAAACGTGGTACTCGAATTGTAAATGTTGTGGGTTTACTCTCCCAACACACCGGTGTGCTGTACTCGTAACGAATTGGCACGTTTTGTTTACGTGACAAACCTTACTAATTGGATTGAGGCGGGGTTTCACGACACAGTTATCATCTTGATTTGAAGCTTTCGTGACTGCAGTCATCCATACTATTTGGTTATTTCGGTAAAGTCACGTAGGTAGAAAAATAATGGATCACGACGTTTCGATCACAACACAAGCAATGGTCATCAGGTGGGACAACCACAGCAAGAAAAACTGCTTTCTGCATACGTGACTTTACCGAAAGAACCAAAGAGTATGGACACATTTATATTACGCGATCTAACCCAATAAAAACCTCATGTAATTTTTTTTGAAAATGTAGCTCTACCAACGCTCACCAAATGCGCAGCGTGCAAAGCCATGGTGGCTCAATCTTGATTTGAAGCTTTCGTGACTGCAGAAATCCATACTCTTTGGTCCTTTCGGTAAAGTCACGTAGGTAGAAAATAAATCACGTTTCGGACGCAACACAAGCGTCCGTCATCAGGTGATGCGCCCGAAACGTCGTGATTCATTTTATACCTACGTGACTTTACACATGGTGGCTCGTTGTCTGGCACGTGTCCACTTGCCAGGCAGGCCCAGTCTCGTCCTGCACCGTGACCACGATGTTCACAGATCGTGTCTTCCAGCATTGGCTTGTGATGTTTGGCAACTTCATTGATGTGTGCGTGTGCTTTTAGAACCTCTCGTATCGCGTCCTAGATAAAGTCTGTTCTATGACGCCGCGTGTTTTCATAGCACGAATTGGATATAACGCGATTAATGTATTCGGGAACACTTTTTTTTATAACGCGGATTACGAATTGGATATAACGCAATTGAGTGAACAGAACTACGTCGCGCGAGTAGCAATAAGCGGTTGTACGGCTGCCACAGGGTAGCATAGCACACGACGGGATGCTGCTGGATGCTTCTAGATGCTACCCACGTGCATCAGTCTTTGTTCAGCTTGCATACTCATCTCACGTATTATCTCGGAGTGTGCTTTAAGCTATGTTATTGATTATAACGCGATTTTTCCATAACGCGTTGTTCTTCAGGAACGCAACTACCGCGTTATAAGAGAACCAGACTTTAACTCTATACATATCGTTGTAAAAAGCAAGAGAAATAAGCTGCAAATGTGCGCAACTTGGTTCTTTGTGGCAGTAACGGAGTTTTGGATTCAGGGAATAGGATATACCGGGGGCCAGGCCTACCGACTCCCTGGATGAGCCTCTGTATTTGGAGGACACGCTGTCGCAATGCATAGCTCACTGTGTTGATATATTCGTGCTTGTAACCGGTGCAAAAACAAGAACGGCTCCACGCCGATGAGACAAATCGCATCGCGTATGACCAACAGCACGCGCGACAAATCAAACGACGTTTGCAAACGGGGCTTCGGGGGAGGAATCAATGGATAATTCGGCAGACGGATCACTCCCGTGTCTCTGAGTGGGTGCATACCATTAATGGTGTGTGTGTGTGTCATCAATCGTAATAATACGTAAATAAAAAATAACTTAGCAAATATACAAGTTCGAAGATAAATGTACACAAGTGTAAATACACCAAACGACTGCTTTTTTTTTTTTGGCGTTTCGACCATGAAGACGCAACGCGTCGCGTCGTTCGCGTCGGCACGCGTTTGACAACAAAGGGCCACGCGGCGCAGAACCTTCGACGAAGTCGTTGACGCTGCGTCCTGCTGCCGTGTGCCCGTGCTTGTTTGGCCTCCGTCGCGTTTGGTGACTCTACCCCGGCTTCCACCCCCAGTTCACCTCTGCAAGTGAGACTCCCTGTCCTGCTCTCTGGAGTTCTCGCCACCCGGCTTACACAAAGAGGTGCCGATGCCCGTGCAGGAATCGCGGGCATCGCATCCCAAGGGGGGCAACGGACGCGGTCATTTGACTCGCGACACATTCGATCGCTTTCTGTAGCGTGATGGAGAAATGCCATCGGCCGGAAATATATATGTATTCGCGCAAGCCAGATACGAAATGATGATATGGGCAACAGCTGTTTTTTTTTAAAGATACACAAGAGAAAGCCCCAGCGTCCCCTGCACGCCGAGATTGATGGCAACGTTCGTGCATACTCCACGTAACAGCCGGTGATGGCCACCAGCTCAACATGATTTGGGGTGTGGTGGTTTTATTTTAATCTACAGGCAACGGCAGCAGAATAACGGAACTGGGAAACTGGGTTTCATCCCGACTGGAACTCATCAGTGCAGTGCAGCCAATCTCAGCCCTACCGCTCAGTGTCACCGCAGCCTTATGAAGTCAAGTGTGAGCCGATGTAAAAAGCGCGACGATGCAACACAAAGTGAAATGAACACACACCAACAACAACAATAATAAAACTCGATAAAGAACGGACGCAGTCCTGATATTGTGCTGTGCTCGCCAAACCGATATACCTGAAGTGTGTGACATTTTCCCTACGTCGTTAACGGTTAGATTATTATGTCACCAATTCCACGTCGATTGTGCCGTTAGGAAAGTTCGGCAAAGCTGAGCGAAGGAAACGCGACCCCGAAACCCTCACGCGCGGGCAGCAGTGACCGCGACTTGGAGCCCCTCAAATGTTCCCCGACGCAAGAAGCCGGGTGAATGTTACTCAGGCGGGCAGCCCCGGGGTTCCGACGCAAGTTTCTTAGCGGAAGCGTGGCAATAGCCAGGGCTTAATTTCTCGCCGAATAAATATTTTTTTCTGCGTGGCTGGTGAGGTCGACTGAAGTGGCACGTGGCCAGCAGGAGCCACGGGCATGTCGAGAGGCACACCGGATGCGCTGTGCCGCTGTGCAGAAATATTGCAACGTGGTCGCAGACCCCGGACAGACTCGGGAGGCAATTAAAGCTCGGCTTTGGGCCTAATCTTAACCCTCGGTTTGCTCTTGCCAAGGAATGTAACGTAGAAAGAGTTTACAAACATTCCTCGTCAGGGTTCAGGTGCAAATGGCCCAGATGCATTTTGTAATTTCTGGGCCGATGTTGGGGACGGAGCAGTTAGGTGTTGAACCGCGAGCACGTGACTCGCAGTCACAAGGGTGGGGGGGGGTAAACTCGGCCCATCATCCCGCCGAGGTCGATAAAATGAGCACCACTTAGCGTGGGGAATCTCAACGGTGGTTGTTCTAAGGGAGATGCTCGAGGAGTTTCTACCGGATAAGGAGCTGGAAACGAGAGACGAAGCTCGCTCATGTGGAGTGCGGAAACCGCTTTGCCTTGGCCGTTTTAAAACGCTGTAGATAATCGGTCATCTTGTACAACTGCAATAACAGATAATAAAAAAAACACAACCACATACTCGTGGCAAAAATACTGTAAACCTTTCCAACGTAAGCATCCGTTTAAGAAACGAGAACGTAAACGCAGCCTGGTATGACAATAACGAGATGGGACAACTTCATAGCTGTCCAGACTCGAACCCGATCAACAAATGCATGAATTGTGCCAGCTCGCTGTGGTGGGCATCGTGGACACGCCGATAAGAGTGCCGATATGTGGATCTGTGCTTCTGTTAACGTTCTTTTTTTTATTTGTCGCATGGGAATGATATTTGTTTTCATTGGGGTGGTATTAAGTTGTGGGAAGAGGGCCATCCTTTGTCCTAATGTACTTTATTTCGTTTATGTTAAGTGACTTGCTTATCTCTCCTATACTTTGCACTCCTATTGTGTTTTTGTATTGTTTGTTGTTATAACTTTCTGACCTGTCCCTACTAGACATCCGTAAAAAAGAGCTTCATAGCTCATCGGATTCTTCCAGTCTAAAGATTTTGAATTCTGATCCCACGTTAAGTAGTAAAGGGGGCCCATGGTGACTTTTATTTTATTCTCCGGATTATAAGACGCACCTTTTCCCCTATAGCAAAAGTTGGAAATGCACCTTACAACCCAGTAGGTGAATGTGTGTGTACGCGGTACTGGGGAGCGGCGAGGTAGCGGTTAGTGCGCTGCGCTACAAACCCGGCCACCCGACTTGGATTCCCGCTCACGGCAACACCAGTGACAATTACTTGCACCGGTCCTGTGCCTCTCCTAGGTCGACTCAGCCTCAACTGAGTACCTGGAGTGATGTGTAAACATCCCCGGGCGTGGTGCTGGCCACCCACTCCCTCGTGTGCCGTGCCGGCCTTCGTAGGTGCTCGCTAACGGCACATATCCCCTCTAGTCTATTACGTCTATACGGGGAATCTAAGTATTTGCTCGTGTGACCAGGTCGGTATAACTTTACTGACACCGTGTGCAAGTGTGGGGGTACGTCCTTTTTCCCAGGTCGTTTTATAATGTGGAGAATACGGTAATGGAGGAGGGCTCAGATGTATCCCCCTCCCCCAACTGTTCGAAGGTTACGGGAGGCAAACTGCCTCCCTTAACCTACGACCTCGGTTACCCCACCCCAATGTACAGAGAGAGTCTCAGAACATCCACCACTTTGATCCACACGCACAAACACACACGTGGCACACACACACACACGTACGTGCAAACACGATCACACACATGACTCACATGGAGGAGACACCACAAAATCTCACGTCCACGACACGCACTATGAATGTGGAAGTTACTCAGTGGAATCATTTTTTTTTGTTCACAATTGAATGTTTTTTTTTCCTCCATTCAAGGTTTTTTTTTTGTCGTCGTTTCCCCGATTCATTTTTTTGTTGATCCTCGTTCCTACGCGTCGCCGCTCTTCTTCTGTCGGTCGCTCCTCTGTCGGAGCAGCGGTTATCGTGGGAAGCCTGGGGGGGTTGGGCGGGGGGGGAGAGTTGGGCGGGGGGCGACGTTGGAAGAGAGGAGGGCAGGCAGGAGCGGTGATGGGGATCAAGGGGTCGGGGAGGGGGTCCGGATGTTCAGCGGTCATTCCATGCCTCCAGACTGCTCCGTATCCTGCAGGAGAACAGAGAGAGGAGAAGACATCTTAGCAGTAGCAATAGCAGCCGCATCATCGTCACCAGCAGCAGTAGCATCGTCTTCATTGGCATAGGAACGTGGAATTTTCACTGCTGGCCTAGGGCTGCCACTGCTCGGCTCTCCACTATACCGCCTCGCACTCCACTTGAAGCTCTCCGTTTTCTGGGAGGCTCAGCCGGCACGCATGGCTGAGCTGGCAGACCCTCCCTGCTGTTGTCAATCACGCCCACTTTTTACATATTCCCGCCCACTCTACCGCTAGCTCCACCCACTGTGCGTAGGCCCCACCCACTCATTTGCCCAACCCTTCCCACTGCAGGGACTCCTCTACTTATGAACGTTCGGTTCCAGAGGTCTGTTCCTAAGTGTATTTGTTCGCAAGTCCAACTTTACTGCTGTCGATTCCAAACACGTTTTACGGCATGTACACTAATCACGGGGAATGGCTTTACAAGTTGTATAACCTCCTGTAGATTTAGATGCCACTGGTTCTTCACGTTCTGCAGATGAAGATGCCACTGGTTCTTCACGTTCTACAGATGTAGATGTCACCACCGCCATCTATTGCGCGGCGGTTGAACTTACGACTCTCGGTCCGAACAGGCAAACTGGACATAGGGGCAGGTTCGTTCGTATCTCTGAAAGTTTGTAAGTCGAATGTTCGTCAGTGGAGGAGTCCATGTACTCCACTTCACCGTAGTCACGTGTTGGTCGGGATCATGACGATTGAGCCAGCTAGCTGCAGCTTTGGATTCTCCAGACGCGGTTGACATGGCCGGGTATTTGCCCTGCACGTGCTGGAGGCTGTCACATGGTAATATGGCTACGTGGGCTGACGACCACTCACATACTGAATGTAACATCGACATACACGTGTATTATTGAACAACTTGCTTGTCGTGTGTATCTGGCGCTCTAACTGTGTAAAAGCCATGTACTAAAGCATTCTCAAAATAAATATTTGAGACGACTGTGCTGTATTATGTTATAACCGGGTGAGCACTGAAGAGAGCAAGCTAAACATGACTTCACTCCCATTGTAAAGTTTTGTTCACTCCATTAGCCTAAATGCAACATGAACCCTTGAATGCGATCGGCATGCATATGGAGTGATCTGTTCTCACGGGGCACAGTTGGATGCACACGGCGTGAGCGCGAGAATTGATCTCAGTACATCGATGCATAGATAGGCAACCTCCACACATTCGTCAATCACGCTGCAATGGCCCTCTTTTGAAAGCGCGTGGTCACATACCAGCGTTACCCAACAATCGTTCAGGGGCCTATCTTCGCCGTGTCGAATTTACTGTTGGGGAAACGCTGGACATCTGTGGAAAAAGAGCTTCATAGCTCATCGGATTCCTAATGCAGTCTAAATAGAGATTATGATGCTGAGCTGTCGGGACAGGTCCGCAAATAATTTCTCCGTCTGGGGATCCGTAATGCTCCAAGAATTGAGTTAATAATTGATGACTCCACGTGCCGTGATTCCACGCGCGTGACCATTGCGAGTCGTGGCCACGACAGGGAGGTTAATTTAAACAATTAGGTGCCCGGAGCTGCGGGGTGGGATGGGGAGATTGGGCAAGATGATTGGGAAGAAGTGGGGGGGGGGGGGGATGGGACAGGTGGTGGAGACGGTGGGAGGTGCACGAGGTCACAGGAAGACATCTGATGAGACACGGAGATAAAGCAGAACTTAATGAGCATAATTAACACATGTTAGCTATTACTTTATTCACCGTGCAACATTCGTGCTCAGGCCTCCAATTATAACGTGCTTTAATTTGACCATGCCATGTTTACCTGTACTGTACATCTGCAGCGCGTCAATTGCCATTCTACTGCTGGATGAGGGGGTATCCCCACCACGCCTGCACGGGTTGGGTCGACGTAGGGTTATTTGACCGCACTTCACCACCCTGCCCGTCGTCTCACCTCGCCGTAGTCGTACTGGTTCTCCTCCGTGTACTCGTGCGCTGCCTCCACCTCTGGGCTGCTCATGCCCTCCATGTGACCTTCAGGCATGCCCTCGGGCTGCGGGGACACATCACCGTTGTAAGAATTAGCAGAAGAATGTCAACTCGGAACGCTTTCGTAGAGTGAGAGAGAGAGGATGACTGAGAGGTGCCAGGAGGAGGAACCAAAGACGAGGGGGAAGGTAGCAGCAGCAGCAGCAGCCAGGCGGTGAGCTGGCACTACCGACAATTGCCCAAGTTCTGCAGTCCTCTATTGAAGCGTTATCGGCCAACTGATGAGTGTTTACATGTGGGAGGGAATGGGAGCGCCCGGAGAAAACCCACGCGTGCGAGGGGGCAACACTCTATCCCTACACTTGGAACAGGTGTGGAGTCCACATTTGCCGTACCATACTCTCCTGGTGGGCCAGGGTATGCCACCTCCTCGATGCCCACGTGAAGGGAGTTTCGTATGTAAGTACCTTGAATTTCTTTCGCACCGTACGTAGCCAACCATGCTAATTGGAGCTGTGATTAGCACGTTTGGCACCTCCAATTATCATGGCTACGTACGGTGTGAAATAAGTTTGACATACATATAACAAACTAAAACAACATTTATGCGATCCACCAACCCTCACTACCTCCAGTGGTGGAGGATTACAGGCATGCGCTGCCCGGTAAACATCATCATCATCATCATCGATGTCATCGTCAACATCATCAACGATCTATCCGTTGACGTGTTCATACATCCATCCAGCTATCAACATCAACACAATTTATCAATCCAAGCATAGCATCGATATATCTATATAGCCATCATTAATCAATTATAACTATAATTATTTTGTCATAGACATCATTAGGCCAATATAAGCCAGATATAGGTAGGGCCAGTGCTGAACTGGCTATATATATTGGTAGTGACATTGAATCGGTAACGTAGCAGCATAGCGATGACTGCTGGCAGGGAAGGGGATCTATAGCTTAGGGGCCATACATTAAGCACGTATGCATGGAGGGGAGAGGGGGCGGATTAGTCTAAATGCGTACGCTTGCGTATGGGGGGTGTGACAATGTAAGTACGCATAGGAAACGGGGGGGGGGGGGGTGAAGCCTCGATAATAATTTGTATACATTGGCCTTCAACTGAGTTAGATAGTCCGACTATCTGTTTGCTTAAACACGTTAATATGATTAATCCTTGATCGTTTCTGCGTGGATTAATTATTGGCCGTTCTATAGGATTCGGGGAGGGGGGGGGTGCATCAAGCGTGCGTACGCAGGTGGGGGGGGTGGTGGTGTAAAAAGTACGTGTGCGTACAGGGAGGGGGGGAGGAGTCAAGTTTTGACAGATTTTTGCGTACCTACTAAATGTATGGCCCCTTACAGCAGCTCTGACTGACAGCAGGGCACGTGATAGACCAAAGAGGGATGTAGGGGAAAGGTTACGGAAGAGGCACATCGAGAACCCGCTAGTAGGTTCCAGAAGGGGGGCGTGGCCGGGGGCGGAGCCAGGCCACGCTGACAGTATAAGGGGGGCCCCGGGAGGGGACCTCGGGGCTGTCTCGGCGTCGCCAGTCAGGTAGTCTACCGGCTCTCCTGACTGGGAGCCGTAGTTACCAAGTGTTAACTATTAAAGCCGTTTAATAAACAGAGTGCCTTCTACTATTAATGTCTCTGAGTCAGTCACTACATATGTATGGTTGTGTGAACCTGGGTCTGCCCTGTGATCTCCTGTAAGCGAGCCTTCGACGCTTCACGTGGCCTCAAATTGCATCTGGCCTGGCACAGGCATCATGGTGACATCACTGATACGTAGAGGCGAATGGCGGCTGTTGGTATTGGTTGTGTAAGGGTCATGTTTTAGATTAGTTGGGGTTAGGTGAGGACATGGCACCACGCCACCCTCTCAAGCGCCATGCCACCTTTAACAGGTGCTTGCTAACAGCATTTGCCCTCATGGTCTATGTTGGCTACACGGGGTAACTTTGCCTTTTGTATCGTACGTGTGCGTGACACCGGCCTGTGACGCACCACACTGGCGGCAACCATCGGGAGCTGCTCCTCGCCTAAGTCGACTCAGGCTAAAGTGACCAGTAGGCCCCCCATGGCGCATGGTGGCTAGGAGATGTTAACTACCTCGCCTGGTTTACAGGAGGTCGTGGGTCCGATACCGACCCTGATTCCTGCTGCTGTATATTTTGAGTTTGCGGTGTCTTTCTCCCTGTGGTTGCGTGGGTTTTTCTCCGGGTCCTCTGGTTTTTCCAAATTTATAATCGACATGCATTTAGAGTCTATAATAAAGGTTTTTGGGTTAGATCGCGTTATTTATAAATGTGTCGTAACCCTCCACCACCCGACACGGCCAATCAGCAAAAAAAGTGTCACGTTGACAAAAGACAAATAATTCACTACTTTAGCCCACCGGTGTGTTGAAGAGTGAATCCACAGCATTTACAGTTTGAGTACGACGTTTCGCTGGTAAATACATCCAGCATCATCGGGCAATTCGCCAGAATGGTAAAGCGAGGGTAAAGCGAGGGCTTTACCATTCTGGCGAATTGCCCGATGATGCTGGATGTAATTACCAGCGAAACGTCGTAATCAAACTGTAAATGTTGTGGATTCACTCTTCAACACACCGGTGGGCTAAAGTAGTGAATTATTTGTCTTTTGTCAACGTGACACTTTTTTTACTGATTGGCCGTGTCGGGTGGTGGAGGGTTACGACACATTTATAAATAACGCGATCTAACCCAAAAACCTTTATTATGAATAATATTGGTCGCGAAAGCCTACGTGTTAAACTGATGCATTTAGAGTATTTGGCTACTATAAATGTCCACGTGATAAGCCACTTTGTAGAGCTATCATTTGTGGCCAGGTCGCTTCTGAATAAGAGCTACATAGCTCAGTGGGCCTTACCTGGTAAAATAAAAATAGTGTAGTTTAGTACCTTGGCCCCAGGCTCTCCCTTCTTGACTAGGCCCGTGGCAGCGGCCATGTTCTCGGCTCCCTCCACGGTCTTGTGGGCGACGCTCGTCACGCCCGACACCACCGCGCCGCCCGCCTCCTTTGTCTTCTCCGCCACTGGGCCAGGGGCAGTGTCAGAGATAGGGGTTAGGGGTGGCGTTAGAGATAGGGGAGGCGTTAGAGATAGGGGTGGCGTTAGAGATAGGGGATAGGGGTATTGTTAGAGATAGGGGTGTGTTAGAGAGAAGGGTAAGGGGTAATGTTAGAGACAAGAGATAGGGGATAGGGGTAGTGTTAGAGATAGGGGTGTGTTAGAGAGAAGGGGTTAGGGGTAGTGTTAAAGATAGGGGTGTGTTAGAGAGAAGGGGTTAGGGGTAGTGTTAGGGATAGGGGAGGCGTTAGAGATAGGGATGTGTTAGAGAGAAGGGGTTAGGGGTAGTGTTAGAGATAGGGGAGGCGTTAGAGATAGGGATGTGTTAGAGAGAAGGGGTTAGGGGTAGTGTTAGAGATAGGAGATAGGGGTAGTGTTAGAGACAGGAGATAGGGGTAGTGTTAGAGATAGGGGATAGGGGTAGTGTTAGAGATAGGAGATAGGGGTAGTGTTAGAGATAGGGGTTAGGGGTAGTGTTAGAGATAGGGGTGTGTTAGAGAGAAGGGGTTAGGGGTAGTGTTAAAGATAGGGGTGTGTTAGAGAGAAGGGGTTAGGGGTAGTGTTAAAGATAGGAGATAGGGGTAGTGTTAGAGACAGGAGATAGGGGTAGTGTTAGAGATAGGGGATAGGGGTGTGTTAGAGAGATAGGGGTAGTTTGAGAGATAGGGGATAGGGGTAGTGTTATATTTCTGGGTAGTGTTATAGATATGGGTGAAGGCTAATGTTAGACATTACAGGGGTTAATGGTAATTATAGGGGTTAATTTTAAGAACTGAGTTATGGTTAATGTTATTGGTTAATGCTGCTGGTGGTGTAGGTGGACGTGATCATGCTGGTGGCAGTGGTTGTGGTTTATGGTGAGGGCGGTGGTGGTGGGTGATTGCGGTGGCAGAGGTGGAGGAAATGATGATGATGATGATGCTGGCGGTGGTGGAGCTGGCGTCTCACCCGTAGCCACACTCTCTTTAGTCTTGGTGCCTGTGTAGATTGCGGTGTGGAAGGGGAGGGAATTGAGAGATTATTATTAGATCAAAGAAGCGTTGCCATGGAGATTAATTGGATTCCTAAGGTCGCCTTGGCACAACAAACGCTAACATCCGACCTCCACGTAACACACCGCGTGTATCGCGCCGTGAAGCAAGCCAGCGCTTAATTATTCTTCAGCAATGACAATTTTTCGCAAATGTATTTCCACTACTGGGAGGAGCGGTGGGGGCAATGGTTAGCACAATGCCCTCTGAACCCAACCACCTGAATGTAATTGCAGGCCACTGTTCACATCAGTTGCGCGTGACGTCTGAACTGGTTCTAGACCTATGCAGTATACATTACACATATCCTGTATGCACAAAGACAGATCCCCTGTATAGTCTTTACAAAAAAAGTGCTGTTCGCGAGCACCTATTAAGGCCGGCATGGTACACGAGGGGGTGGGTGGCCAGTGCTACGCCTGACCGCCTTTGTCTCCCCAGTAGCGATGTTTACATACCACACCAGGAACTAATTTGAGGCTGAGACGACCTAGGGGAGGCCCAGGACCAGTTTAGATAATCGTCACTGGTGTTGGTGGCCATGAGCGGGAATTGAACTTGGTTTCGCCGGGTTTGTAGCACAGCGCGTTAACCGCTAGACTACCGCTCCCTACTCCCAACCGCACACAAAGATCCCCCGTATAGTCTTAACAGACTATTGGGGCAAGTGCCGTTTAGCGAGCACACACCGACTCACAAACACGTGTACACACAAGGTCGTGCGTGAAGGTGACACGGTCAGTGTCAGGCCGGGAAGGTATTAATGGGGCATTAACAGCATCGTCGGAGGGATGGATGGTGGGAGGTGGATTAGGGCCCAAGTTTCATCCAAGGTCAAGGTTCACGTTGATTTTGTTTAACCCGGCGAGACCAGGATGAGTCTCAGTGGCGAGAGCGAACGAATGAATGAGTAGGCCAGCGAGCGACCTTAGCTACCGAGTGAGTGTATTGAGTGTGTGAGCGAATGGGCGAGCGAGTGAGATTGCTGGGCGTGTGGGTGAATGGTCGAGTGAAGTTTTCCTGCAGAACGGCGGACGTATCGACTGAGCTCGAGTCAATGTTGTTGAAGCAGGCGCAGAACTCGAAAACAAGGAGGAGTCTCATTCGCAAAGGGCCACCAAGCGAAACACAAAATCAGTGCAACAAACAACCCGCAGGAATTGAAAATATTGCAACACAATTCCACTCATTGAACGTTTAGTTCATTTAGTGAATGGGGTATAATATTAAAACAAATGCATGCTGAGCTGTGACCACACCTGTCAACCCCTTATCAGTGCCCCTACCTTATTACAGACCAATTCAGACCTTATTGGTCACCCCGTGCCATTATACATCTCAACGTTCATCCTACAAAGTGTCATCACAAGGGAGAAACACAAACAAATCGACATTTTTATTTGCCCCGTATTGAAACGTCTGTACGGCGTACGGATCTGAAAATTAAATTTCCCTGTACGAGAATACGGGGTAAACCGTTTGGGTTGACACGGTATGAGTGTCTGCTGCTGCTGCTGTGTCCTGTACAGCGCTTTGAGATCCTTGGGGAAAAGACGCGATATAAATGGAATAATAACAAGCATTATATTTATTTATTAAGACAATTCCCCTTGCAGCGTCACTCGGCGAGAGCCGAGACTCGGCTCGCCCACGGCCCCGCCCCCTTCATCCCGTGTGGGCGGGGCTTGGAACCTGCCAGGCTCCGCCCCCTTCACCTGGACATAGTGCGACAGTCATCAATGTTGGTTTACATCAGGGGATCTTATCCTGGGGTGAACCCCCCTGGGGGTGCCAGATGCCCTTTCTGGGAGGGGTGCGAGACATGGCCAAATTAATTATAGGTGAATAATCGAAAACACAAATTAAGCACGTACACGTAAGTACGCTTACTTTGTTTCACCAAACCCTATGTGTTTCTTAACATAAAAAAATTACGGATTGAAGTAAAAGGTTAAGAACCACTGTTTTACATTTTACATTTTTCAGGTCCCGCAGTGTAACTGAAGTGCAGTCTCCAACTTGTATCCCCTCTATCTCTCTGCGAACTCTTATGTGCTGTGGTATAGTCATTGCCCGAAACGTCGCCTATTCTATTTATAGATCTCCTTTTAAGGCCACTGTATTTTTGACGAATGTGTTGAGGTTTCAACAATTGTATAGGGTGACGACGACATTCTGCAAGAAGGTAACAGTCGAATTCAATCAATAGATGAAACAATACGCGAATAACATATCCCTTCGTCAGGATGAAAATAAAACAGTACCCCTCATCTACGAGAATAACTGCTCCATCCACATAGTCATACATATTGTGTCTCGTCCATCAACCTATCGGCTCTCCAGACCGATATAACGAATCGGAATTTAAGCAAGCAAACTCTGGACTGGTTTTCCTCATTTTGGATCTCATCAGCAGTTAGTCTTGTTCAACATACTGCTGCTGGGTTAGCAGTTGTAAAATATTGAATCCCAAACGCATTAACTTTGCCACAGGTCATAGTATCAATTCAATCTCTCGTACACAAAGTTGGAATATGAGACGAAGAAAAATTGTGGTCACCAATGGGAAACACTGGGTAGTTGATTTAAAGACTGGCAATCAGAAAACATGTTTCAAATCTCAATCTCACGAATCACCATGGCGTAAACAAGTGCAGCCTCTCACTCGTGTCTCCTCTGTCTCCGTGGCATCTGTACGTGTTTCGCAGTCACTGCCAGAAACATCACCTATTATATTTGTTTGTTTAGACGCTTTTTATTCACTCACTCTGTCCGTTGCATCCTCAAATATTGCAACTCACTGTTTACCCACATCCCAATGTGGTATCGACTACAAACTTGGTATACTTATGTCATACTGATGACAATACTATATTCTATCATAAAAATAAAAACAAATATTTTTTTAAACATTCTTTTTTATATGTTATGTTTCGGCTTGGGTCTAATTGGCCACGGCCCCCTTACGTTGTGGCAAGCTTCGGGGTCACTTCCTGGAGTCGTGGAGTTCTGCCATTACATTTCATAAAAGCGTGTTTAATTTTTTTAATATTACTTATTGTTTTCCTTTCAAGACCACAGCATTGTTATTGACCAGGGGTCGGCAATGTTGCAAAGAAGCAGAAGAGTCATTGTTTATGTTTTTGTCTTTTACCCAAACAGTTTGAGAGCAGCATCACCCGCTGAGCACAGCAGCAGATAAACAAACTAATTCTGACTTAAACAAAATAGGTTATGGAATAAACTGCTTATCTTTAGTTCCCCCCCACCCCCTCCTTAGCTTTCCTTTAACAACACAGTTTGTTGTACATTTAATCGTCACCAAGACACTGCACAGTTACCCATTCCCTGCCATATTCTAATCAATTGTTTTTGGGGCCGTCCATAAATGACGTCACGCACCTGGGGGGGGGGGCGGGTCAGACATTTGTGACGATGTGTGACGAAGGGGGGGCGGGGTTGAGAAATGTGACGTCACATCAAAATGCGCAACTTTAAATAAATATAGAATTGTTATAACAACACTCCTATAACATCAGAGTGCAGCGCCACATTAAATACGCACTGCAATGACAATAGTTTAAAGCGATTTGAAGCATGTTTTATTTTCAAAATGGAAATATGGTTTTGGGGGGCGGGGGGGGGCAGAGCTTTGTGACGTCATATTTTAGGGGAGGGGTCTGACTTTTTGTGACGCCGTGTGACAAGGGGGGGGGGGGTCAAAAATCCTCCAAAATCGTGTGACGTCATTTATGGACGGCTCCTTTACGTTAAATTATGTTTTTACGATTGTCTTTTGTTGTAAACGCCTGCCCGCAAGGGGGCAGCCAAAGAGCCGCGTGCGGCTACGCAGTAGCAGCCTGCCGACGTCCTTTTCTTATTGACAAACGTGTTGAGGTTGTTGTTGTTGTTGTTATTTGTCCGTGTGCACACCACTGCGGACGCAGGAGTAGCCGCACCACGAGATAAGTTCAATCAGTAACAAGGAGAGCGACCTCCTCCCGATAGCCTGAGCAGACTGTGTCGGTGGCAAGTGCTGTTGGCGACACGGCTATTCTCACCAACATGTAGAATCAAAATACTAACGCGCCCTCAATTATCAGGGCATAGATGAATACGTGAAACGAGGTCGTGAGCGAGCATCGACCGTATATCTGCTGTATGCAATCGGGTCACTTGAACCCTGCAGCCGCTAGAGGCCGCTACGTTCACTGCAGTGTTTGCATTATGAATCGTGAATCTCGAATCCAACGTGGCCTCGTGGAGAGGGCCTTTACACACCCACTAATCACACACACACATTTAACTATAACACCCAATTTGCAGTTAACAGATATTTACAGGATTTAACTTCTATAAATATTAGCTCCCGCATATCCTGTTGATGCTGGGTGGAGCGGTGGCGCAGTGGTTAGCGCACTGCACGATGAACCCAGCAAACATTAGTGGCGAGTGATATTTGAACCGGTTTTAGCCCCCCCCTTCACCTTTACATAATCTGAATCTTTATTTAGACTGGAGGAATTCGATGAGCTATAAGGCACTTTTTCACAGATATCCAGTAGACATAAACATCATTCCAACTCGCATTGACCGGCGTGGTGAAGTATGGTTACAGAACCCTCTTTTTGGATAGCATAGAATGGATCATATGCTGATGACGCATAAAACACGTTCACATATACACTGGGGTCGTATATGCAGCATGTGTACATCATAATAATCATAATTTACAGCTCTTGTTCAGTTCAAAGCTAGATGAAAGGCCTTCAGCGTAGAACAGCTGTTACAGGTTGTCGCAGGGCTGCTGCCTTGTCAGCAGATAGCAATGCAGCAAACTTTCGTGGCTGTATTGTACTTCTATGCTCCCACGTCGACCCTGCCCGCATTCACCCACCCGCACTGATCCAGCGTGGTGAAGTATGGTCAAATGCATGATCGGAATGC